GCTGGGGCTATTAAAATAAGGTCTTCTGCGCTCATTGCTCTCTCTTCTGGGAGCAGTGTATAAGCGTAGAAGCCCTGGGTACGAGGTTGATATCATTTATTGGATTTATCTGGCTTAGGCCAACTTCGAGGACACTTGGAAACCAGGCTTAAATAAATTTATTGCAACTCCACATTTTGACCCTTCAACTGATTTTCTCAAAAAATTTAATGCCCCCCCCCTTCTAGTAAATGATTTATACTTGTGGGGTCATGGCCCCACCTTTTGCCCCCTCCCCCTCCCTCTTTCATAAATAAGGACTGGTCCCTAACTGCAGGAAATATTTGTGCCCTTCACAGAACATTTATAACAATTCATAATTTATTACGTTTGCCTCAGGCTGGGTAACCACAACAAAAGTTGCCAAATAGGCCCTTTGAAGGTAGCTTGCGTGTCAGGCTCGATGCTTGAAATAGAGCTTGTTATAACTTGTAAGCAAAGTCCTCTCGTATTTCTTCACGGCACGGAGAAGCGAGAGAGTCTCTGCAGAACTTGTGTATAAATTCATTTGAGCATGCGCAAAGGTTGCTAAGCAACTGCCTATTTCCCAGAAGAAGATTTAATAAGTAGTTTCCGGTTCGGATCAAAACCGGTTATAAAACTGGTATCAGACCTGAAATTACTCATAATTATCCAAGTTTTTGGATTGTCGGCTCCACAAAGAATATACACAAAGAATATACACAAGTTCTGCAGAGTATCTCTTGTGCTGAGAAGAAATACGAGAGGACTTTGCTCGCAGGGTAAGCCTGTCACTGAAGTCAATAAAAAGTGGACAGTGATTGGGATGCACAAAAATAACAACCAATCAAAATGGCGATTGTTAATTATGTATCAGTCAATTCCAGCAGTGCCCATCCCCCCCGGGGTATTGGCCACAAGCCATTTGCAATCAAATTAAATATCAGTTTTCCAGCAAATCTACCAAATCCCCCATGATGGAAAATGTCAAAATCCTCACCCCAGGGCTAAATAATATCGGCAATAGACCCACCCCCGTGATTAAGAAAAGCTGCAAAGGCCCAGGGGTGGGAACTGCTGAAATTAATTGATACATTAGATTATCAAAGCTAATTTAAAATATGACAATAACGGCCAACTTTGCCGCCAATATCTCAAAACTAAATATTCCAATTTTCATCGAATGGCCAGGAATTACATATTAAATAATAATAATAACTGTTATTGACTGCAGCAAAGGCAGTCAGTAACATGGCCAAAAGTAGTTAAAGTACAATTACAAGTACGGAATATCATTACATAAACAACAATTTGGCATTACCTTAAAAACAAAGCTATTTATTTCTGACCAATGGGAATTTTGCGTACGAATCATATGCATCAATCCTTTTTACTGACCTCAGTAGCAGGCTTTATTTCAAGCATACCCAATACATTGTTTTCACCATTGTGTTTATACAACCTTGCAAATTTACTAGTAGGAATTTCCATTGTGTTTGCAGTCCTTACACTTTGTGTTTCATTATGGCATCTTGACCTTGAAAGAGTCTATTATGATAATGTGGCTCCAATATTTTCCCGTTCGGCGTTAGAAACACAATACATTGATCATTAAATGACTGAAATATCACAGATTTAAAATTAGCCTGACACCTAGCGGTAAAGTTTAAATTTCACACAAGTAGTGATGTATGGTGATCACTGTGGTTGTATTTCGGTCTTGTTAGGCTACACCGTGTTCTTTTGACCACCTATCCGTAACAGGATTATTTGCATCAACAGCCGTAAAAAAGCACCCAAATAAACAGCAGTTTGCGAATATTATTGTTGCGATTTACAAAGGTTGCGGCCCGTTCCAATTTTGTAAAATTGAAAATTGTGAACTTTTGTCCTCTATTTCAAGCTTGTAGCCTTCCAGGTTTACTCACATAAAATGACTTTCGCTTTATAAAGTCTGTTTCATCGGAAAACTTTTAAGGTTCATCGGAAAAATAAAAAAATATGTACAAAATCGATGATACCATTCGCTCGTAGTAAGCGGCCATCTTGAATTCAGCGACGAATAGTAATGACGTAATTTTATTTTTTATTTTTTATTAATGACGTAATTGTCATTTTGTGGCTAACGATCCAAGATCCGACACAAATGCGTGCCGAAACCTAGAGTCGCTGTGGGCTTAGCCTGCTCGCAGGCCGTTGTCAGGCAGAGGCTGCATTGGAGGTACGGCCTGCGACCTTTATTAGTAAAAAGTCGATTTATGCGTACGGAGCGTACGCAAAATTCCCATTGGTCAGAAGTGCCCCATGAGTTAATATCGTGCAAATATTTAACTCGTACGACATTTCGCAATGTAATTTTAAAGCTGGCATTCAATCAGTGGCGTATAAAACCATGACTTCATCTATCTCTTCGAAGAAGTAACTGAATGTATTTGAGAAACCTTTCAATTTAAATTAACGTTGAAGGATGAGCGAAGGTTAGCAATATTAACTGTACTTCCAACGGGATTTGATAAAAGTTTACATGTAATATACCGATACTTTGTCTTCGTCAGCTATAATAATAAACCTTTTCCAAAGACGTACAAGGGAAAACTTCGACGTATGCCTTGCTGATCTTTGCAGAGAGAGTACAATAAGTCTAGTTCAGGCTGACAATTTATCTAACCGCGTTTGCATCACTTGCGGTTTCAAACGTTGAACAACTTAAGGTTAGCCCAGCGAGACGTTCGTTGAGACACAGGCAGTGAATCAGCTAGTATAAAGCAGTTGATTGTCAAATGCCTCCGAGCATTTCTCCCAAATACTTCCCTGTCAACCCAAGGCTTTCTGCCTAAACAATCTGGTCTTGAATAAGTCAAGACAATGGGCAAATTATTAAAACAGACGCCGTCGAGGAAAGTCGTTCTTAGAACACCTGGCCAATTTGAATTTACACCTGGAAATTTTGCAATAGTCGTTTGCGTGTTTTTTGACCGAAGTCCGCTCTCTCTTTGAGACTTTATTTTTGGGAGTCTCAACTAGTGACATATATTATTACAACAAGAGCTTTTTACAAAAATGTAGTTATTAAACACGGCAGAATCTATGCCACGGCCACGGGTTTTCAAATTGTCTATTGTCTATTGAGTTAATTGTATTATTGAGCAAATGACAGACTTCACGCAATAATGATTAATGTTGTTTTTTAGCCTGCTATTGTTCGACACTTTTAATAAATAGTGTAGTGTTTGTTACTTTGTTCAAAACCTAAATACGTTTCCTTAAATCTTACAGTTATATTTTGGATATAAATATATAAAATACATTAACTAATAGAGTAAAATTTTACGTCTCTGTAGTATAGTTACATAATTTAAAACGGCAATGTACGAACAAGACAGCAATATACAAACGGGACTATGTTTTAAATATTAGAACATTTTAGGGAAAAAACGACCATGAATTATTTTAGATTAAAGTTTAGACCTTGGAATCCTAGTGAAAGATACAGGCGTAAAATTGCGCGAGAAACTGTTTGTTGTTGTTAATAACCTCTGGTAATCTAATTAACAAAACTTGCTTTGATTGGCTACTATTTACCGGATATTCAATTATCTCAAAGGGGGCGTATTGAAAAAATATCAATAAAAGTCGCAGGCTCTATATAATAGAGCCTGTGAGCAGGCTACTGTGGGCTCTGCCCAGCGACTAATTAACATATTTCTTGAGAGGCGCTAAAAGTAAACAATTTCTTTCTGACTAACATATCTCAGATGAAAGAAACTGCCACAGCTAGTAATACCCTTTTTGTAAATATAGTCGTAATGTGCTTTTCCTGACACGCTGAGAGAGCTTTGTTTTTTAATGTTATACCACATTTATTCAGTCTGACCAGATTCATATAAATGTCACGAACTTGTATATTTCAAAAATATACCAGAAATCAGAATTCAGAAAGACCGATTATTCTTTCCTTGATTCAGTTGATGGATTTAGTTGATTGATTTAAAAAACTATAAGTATAATGGAACATTCCACGTGTTTCCATTGCCCCTATATAGGCCTGGAAATTTTATCAATATGTTCTATTTTTCTGTGGCGACGGCATACTAACAAAATACGACACAAAAATGTACATTCGAATTTATGACCGACATATCAGAATGTTATTTATGAAGTTTGAATTGAATTTACTTAACGCGAAATAAATACTAAAATAGGAATTTTCTATGCCGGGTTAGTAAAAGAAAAAGCATAATTTTAATTGTATGTAATTTCGATGAATACTATATATAAAAAAAATTATACGCATTGTTTATATAAATTAGCTAACATTTTTAACAAAAATATCAATTTTATAAATAATCGAATTTCAATATTTTTCTTTGAAAAAAAAATATATTCGTGAGCTCCATAGCTGAGAATAAATTTCAAAAGACACAAGTTTGATATTTTTGTTAAATAACTGATCAGAATGCTTATAGTTTATTTTGTTACATGGCTAAAACAAACGTCGCTACTATCGTAATAAATGTGTAAATGTTAGCTAATTTATATAAACAATGCGTATAATTTTTTTAATAGTATTCATCGAAATTACATACAATTAAAATTATGCTTTTTCTTTTACTAACCCAGCATAGAAAATTCCTATTTTAGTATTTATTTCGCGTTAAGTAAATTCAATTCAAACTTCATAAATAACATTCTGATATGTCGGTCATAAATTCGAATGTACATTTTTGTGTCGTATTTTGTTAATATGCCGTCGCCACAGAAAAATAGAACATATTGATAAAAATTCTAGCCCTATATAGGGGCAATGGAAACACGTGGAATGTTCTATTATACTTATAGTTTTTTAAATCAATCAACTAAATCAATCAACTGAATCAATGAAAGAATAATCGGTCTTTCTGAATTCTGATATATTTTTGAAATATACAAGTTCGTGACATTTATATGAATCTGGTCAGACTGAATAAATGTGGTATAACATTAAAAAACAAAGCTCTCTCAGCGTGTCAGGAAAAGCACATTACGACTATATTTACAAAAAGGGTATTACTAGCTGTGGCAGTTTCTTTCATCTGAGATAT